CGGCTTACGTGAAAGAGTATATATATTGTAAAGGAGACAAAAACTCATGCAGACACCTTAATTCTTGATATTTACTTGCATGAGTATGTGTGCACATACATATACATACAGATACACATAAAGTAGCATGGCCTTCATGAGAATTTCTTCGAACACGTGATTGGCAAAATAATATGATGTTTTTTGTTTTTTCATATTACAAGATGGAGATGAGAAAGATGAAAGAGAGTAGAAGAATAAGATAAGACAGGAGACGAGAAGAACACTGAGATAAAATAGAAGAAGGATATAATGAAGAGAGAAAAGATAGCAAGAAAGTCAAGGACAATGAATAAGACAGAATATAAATATATATTTAAAGTGGAGATATAAGACAAGAGGGGAAAATGAAGAGTGAAGAAGAGAGAGGGAGGTAAAGACGAGAGAAACATAGAGGAGAAAAGAACCACCACCTGAGAAGAGAAAGAGAATAAGGATGAAAAAGCAACAGCAAAACAGAGGGAGAGAGATCCATCAATCAAATCTAATTTTATTCATGCATGTGATACCAAATTCGTTTTACAGCAATAGAGCCTATTTATAGGTTGTGTAGTCTGTAGATAATCATGAAAATCTGTGGAAACTTTCACAAACCAATCCTAATTCCTACCCAGCATAGATACCTAAAAAACTGGAGTCTTATCACTAAAGCCATTAAAAGTCCTAAAAGAAAGAAAATATAAAAATATTAAATCAAAGACAAAGTACTTAACACTAGTAATCAATTTATCATCTTCTCGTGGGTCTCACATCGACTAGGTTACGTTATTCCCCTCTTGTTGGAGGAAAATTAACCTCAAGTTCTGCAGATTGACATTCCTAAAACTAGTAAATTTTGATCTCCATCAGTATTGTTCAGTAAACATGAGCATAACATCTCAAAAAACATAAATTTACTTTTCAATTAGTGGATAAAGAGTAGCCAGAACGGATACAGAGTTGTGACAGTAAAATTCTAAGAATCATGTTTACCTGAATTAGTCCTGTTGCCTCTTCATCTGTCATGTAAAGTGGCCCAGGTACATGGAGTTTAATAATTTCTAGTTTTCTACCTTTAGCGTCGGTAACATGAGAGAGAACAGAAAAGGCTTCCACAGATCGCTCATACTGAGGATCTGATTCATCATTAGTCCAGGACAACAAAACCACACCAGGCTTCACAAAACAGCACAAGTTGTCGATATGACCATTAGTATCATCATCACCTGCAAAACACCATGTTAAAGGCCTTAGTTCACTAAAAATATACTGTTTAAACTTTGGTCTTTTTATTTTGTCCTCTTAAGTAATCAATAGGAAAAGCTTCAACGATGAGGCAGCAAAAAGCACAAACATGTTGGAGAAAGTAACTCTAGCAACTTCTGTGTACAAACTTTTATTAAAAACAATGCCTAATTAGTATACATTAATGTGTGTTTGGAAGGGAAAAGATTGAGTATACATCTAACCTTTGGCATAATGCACAAAGTGATGGTCCCAAGACTTGAACCCATAACCTCAAGGTTATTAGGCCAAGTCTTAACCATTGAACCAATGGTCACCCCTACTTTCCAAGAATACAGATCTGAGGTTAAAATCTTGCCTCAGACAAATAAACACATAAATTGCTAGATAACAGATGCTGACCTCAGCTTTTGCATGAACTATCTCTTGAAGTTCATAAGGGAACAATGAGTTGGACCTCTGCTGGATGGTTTTCACAGCATGATGCGCAGCATCCTGAACCACAGGATCATGCGTTGGCACTGCTTGCCATCCTGGGCTATGCCCATCTGATTTACAGCCAACATCATTATCGTCATTACCAAAGAAAGAACTCAAAACTTTTGACATAATATTGTTCGCATTAAAGTTCAGCAGAACTATATTTTACAATCACAGTGACTACATTAAATCTCCACATAAAGAATATTTTTTCTGAATCGACCTGTTTGAAGTCCGGAAGATGGTCAAACTAACAAGAGAACAAAACCCAAAATGTCAAAAAACATTTATAAACATTTTCCTTTTCTTGACAATGACAACATAATATCATATAAATCCCAAGGGGTTGGCCTGGAACCTGGGGGTGTGCTCACTCTATGGTCTCATGTTCAAAACCTCCTGGGTGCAAACAATTTCTTGAGGGGCCAGTCCATACGTTTAATTGGGTCTCCTGCTAGTGGACGGTGGGATTGATCCCCTGGCTTAGTCGGTCCTTTGGGCCGGATACCGAGTAATCAAAAAGACAAAAAAAGAAAGCATAGTATCATATAAGGGGAAAACATATCCATGACGAGTTCATCCCCAAATAAATAAATAAATGAATAAGTAAATGAACAAATAAACAATCTGAGGATATGGCCACTAAGAAAAAGGACTACGTAAAGACAATCCAAGGGCCGTTTTCATTGATTTGAAACTTGCAGGGAAGAAACAGGAGTAGGAAATGGACAAAAAAAAAAGGAAAAAAGGAAAAGAGAAGGAATAAGAAAAGAATAAAATAAAAAGAAAAAAAAAGGCAGAGGGATTCTCAGCCTCGCAATTAGTCCCAGCGGTGGTAGTTGTATCTCAAATTCAATCTCAAGAAGAAGGCTTTATTTGTAGCACAAACATGGCTACTCTCGGAGGAATACACGACTCTCATTCGTCCAACCAGAACACCGCCGATATCGAATCTCTCTTTCTCAGCCTTCAGCCTCTGCTTCTCGTCACGAAGCTCATTCTTCTCAGCCTTCAACTCTTTAATCTTCTCCTGCAGAGTCAAGTTTGAATCCCTCTGCTGGATGGTTTTCACAGCATGATGCGCAGCATCATGAACCACAGGATCATGTGTTGGCACTGCTTGCCATCCTGGGCTATGCCCATCTTTCTTAACACCAAGATCTGACGGGGTTAATGCAGGAGTGTCACCAACATCACCAGCATGCTTGAATTCCTGCAATTCCTTGAAGTTCATCCATGGCTTCACCCAAACTTTTGCCTCATAGAGTTTCTTCTTACCCGCATCAACAGCCTCGAGAGTTATATGGTGCAACGTACCAGCAACCACCTGTTCTTGTGCCTTCACCACCCGCACGAACTCGAAGAGTGTATTCTAAAAAAACATTTAAAGCAAGTGAATATCTAAAGATAACAAAATATCTAATTATGAAGTAAAGGATTTAGAAATGTTAGTTTAATATATTTGTTTTTCGTTTGGAGGGTGCAGATATTATCTAAATGAAATTAATGAGATGACCACTTGTGATCATATGAGAAATGAACAACAAAGTATGTCCAGGACATAAAATTTTGCTTCAATTCAGTGCCCTTCTTGATCTAAGTCTAAAAAGGAGAGAGAAGAGGAAAACAAAGAGAATATTTTTCAAAAAATATGAAAGAAACCAATTAAGAACATAAGTAGATCACTAAACCAATTAGCAAAATAAAGAGTACAATTTCAGCATGCGCAAAAAAAGAAAAAAAGAAGCCGTCCAAGCGAAAACCATAGTATTACTACCCTCACTACAACGATTGTCCATGGTCATTACTCATTTGTGCTGTTCGGGAAGGCATTTTTTTGGTTTTTTTTCACTAGAAGACAAATTGGTTACAAAATCAAAAAAAAAAAAAAACAAATACAAACAAAATATCACATCAAACCCCATAATCATTCCACTTTTTCTCTCACAAACATTACATCCAACCACAAAAAAATCTAATTATCTTCCCAAATACAAAAAAAAATTTCTCCAATAATATCCTACAACTAAAAATACCTACAAAAAAGACCACTTCTCAAACGCCCACATTATGTGATTTACTTTTAAATGCTTGTATGAGCTAAGAATCACAATACTGAGCATGAATTTTAAAAAGAGCTTTATAGAGATGTTCACACCAATCTATTTCAGAATTCAGTTAATATACAGTGTAAGTGCTACTGATTATCTGGCAATCCATAGCCATTCAAATCCCGCAAAGCCAGCACCTCATTCAAGTCCCATAAATTCAGGAATTCCCCCTCACAGCTGACAATGCTCTGGGTTGTTTCCTTCAATAGTTTAGGGCATGTGTGTGAGGTAATTAAATCCTAGAGTTTAGCCTTCAATTGTACTGTTCCTTTATTTTATTGTTTTGTAATGTGAACATATTCATTGCAGAAAGAGAGCATCTTTGCTCTGATACCATATAAAGATATAGTCAGCCATAAAAATCTCGCTGAAACTAGGTTAGCTTTACTTCACCTGGCCTCGGCACCCCTCTTATTCTAGTTCCATGCCTTTCAAACTGCTACATACCTCAATCAATTGGCTTCCCACATCCAATCTTCAACACAAATCCCTTTTCATCACTCTTTTTTTGGGACTCCCCGAACTACCACAAGCTTCATGTTTTTGGCTTCTTGTGTGCCGTCCTTGGTTATGACCATACACTAAACATAAACTCAAACCTTGCTCTAATCCTTGTGTCTTCCTTAGTTGTTCCACCTCTCCAAGTGCCTACAAATGCTTTGATCCTTCCACCAATTGTGTCTTCATCTCTCAGCATGTCATCTTTGATGACTCTATTTTTCCCTTTGCCTCTCATGATTCAGCTCTCACTCGTGTCACTTCCTCTACCATTAATACTCAGTTTATTACCTCTCTCTCTTGCTGGCACCACTCTTGTATTTCTTGTGCCAGTCATGCATATTCCTTCCCACAGTCCACCAGAGCCACAGGTTGTGGAACTTGCACCACTCATGCCCAATGCCCATATGGCTCCGCCTGGGTCTTTCCTCCCACCCACAAATCCCCACCTCCAACTCAGCCTACAGTACCTACCATTTCACATGGTGACTTCTCCTCCCAACCCCTTTCTAAACATTCTACTTCTAAACCTACTTCGGCTTCTAATCCCATTCCTTCCAACTCAACATCATCTGATACACAATCCCTCCAATCCTTGCTACTCAAATTCATCCAATGGTCATACTTCTCAACCTGCTTCTTCGGCCTATAATCCAATTCCTTCCAATTCAACATCAGAATACACAATCCCTACAATCCTAGCTACTCATATTGATCCTATGGTCATAATTCTCAACCTACTTCTTTGGCTTCTAATCCAATTCCTTCCAACTCAACATCATCTGATAAATGATCCCTTCAAACCTTGTCTACTCATATTCATCATATGGTCAGGTCCAGCAAAAATATTTTTAAACCTAAACAACGCTGTACCACTACCAATCATCCCCTTTCTAAATCCCTTAAAACGTTGATCCTACTCGTGTTTTTCAAGCCCTTGGCACATAGCCATGTCCAAAGTATTTAATGGCCTAGTCCACAATGGCACTAAGGAGATAGTTCCCTCTCAGCCGAGTCAAAACCTTATTGATACAAACCTTGTTTGGTTGCCAAGGGTTTCCATCAACAATCCAGTATTAATTATACTGGTACATTTAGTCCAATTGTTAAACCCACTACTATACGAGTTGTCTTGCTCTTGCGCTTGCTCATGGATGGCCTATCCGGCTGCTAGAAGTCAACAATGCTTTTCACCATGGCTCCCTATTTGAGAGGTTCATATGCCTCCACTTCCTGAAGTCGTTTTTCCCTCTCATGTTTGCAAACTTTGAAAAGCCATCTACGGTTGTAAATAAACTCCCCGTGCATGATATAAGGAAATCGACATTTTCTTGCTCTCATGGTTTCACTCAGTCCCAGTCAGATACCTCGCACTTTATTTATAATCACAATGATACTACGCTCTTTTTCCTCGTCTCTGTTGATGATCTTATAGTTACTAGGAATGACACATTTTCTATTTCTAAATTCACATGTGCTCTCGCACATCCATTTCAGATAAAGTATTTAGGATCTCTTCATTACTTTGTCAATATTGAGGTCCTCTCCACTCTTACTAGTTTATTTCTTTCTCAGCATTAACATATTTTGCAGCATCAAAACACACTATTATGGTTGGCTCAAAAGAAGTTAGCACTCCTTCACCTACTACAAGGTCTCTTGTTCTTCATAATGGCTCCCCATCAGCTCATGCACCAAACATCGCAATGTCATTCGTGCTTTCCAATATTTTCCTATCACAAGATCAAATATCATTTATGCAGTCAATAAGCTTGCTCAGTTATGCATCGACTCTTATTAATTTATGCATCAACTCTCAGTCTCATTGGACAACGACCAAACATTTTCTTTGATATCTAAAGGGCACTCTCAATCATGTTTTATTTTTAAAGCATCGTCTCAGTCCCTCCCCCCCAACCCACGCACCCAACAAGTAGAAATGGATTGTTGCCTATTTCTCTACTATAGCCGAGTATTGTGACGTTGCCATTGACGCACAACTCTCTTGGGTCCAATGTCTACTTAGTGAAATGGGTTACCAAACCCCCAATCACATATTGTGATAATGTTGGGGCAACTTATCTTTATGCCAATCTGTGTTTCTGCTCATGTGTGAAGCATATAGCCATTGATTTTCACTTTGTGCATGACAAAGTCTCTAAAGGTTACTTCAAGTTACTCATGTTGCCACTACTAACCAGATCAATGATGCCCTGACTAAACCATTATCTTGACAATGTCAATCTGTTATACAGCTAGGGATTAAATCGATTCGATACAATTAGGGCATGTGATGGAATTTTATCCTAGAGTTTAGCCTTCAGTTGTACTTTTGTGTTTCATTATTAATTTTATTTTGTAATGAGGTTTACAATATTAAGAAGAAAAAAAAAACCCATATGCAAAAATGGATGATGATTACAACCCACCAGAAAGTGGGATTGTTTTGGGGGGATTGACAAATCAAAAAAAAAAAAAAAAGCATGACAGAAATTGTGTTCAAGCCAAAAGTATAGATATATTAGATATACAAACCCTAGTAAAACAAAAACAAAAAATTAAGAAAGAAAAACCTCTTTTTTGTTGTGTTCTTGGATGGCAAATCGGGCGAGATTATCGATATCGGCGGTGTTCTGGTTGGATGAATGAGAATCGTGTAGTCCTCCGAGAGTAGCCATGTTTGTGCTACAAATAAACACTTCTTCTTGTGCTTGAATTTGAGATACAACTACTACCGCTGGGACTAATATCGCAACAGAGAAGCAGAACAACAAGATAGACCTCTCTACTTTCATTTCATTTCATTTCAGTTTTTTTGGGTAATTTATAGCGTTCTCTTTCACGGTTGCGATACACGATAAAGCTCCCCGCCCCCCACCCCCCCTTGATGCCTGAGAGTTTGATACGTGGCGAACGCGTGTCGCTTTCATGCTCTTCCTCAGTAAAAATGTCCTTTGCTTAACTTCTAAGCATTCTGCCACAATAAAGTCAAAGTTTTCATCTGGAAAGTAAGTTAACTTTTTTTATTTTATTTTTTTTGATATTTTAATTATTTTAATTTGCAATAAAAAATTTTGCTTGATTTTTTTTTTAATTTTTTTTAATCTATTTTAGTTAATCTACTTTATATTTTTATAAAAAGAAAAAACCTCATTTCAACCTAGGTAAAATAAGAGCAAAGTAATGTTAAGGGCCCATATTTTGATTATATTCGTTTAGTAATCATTCGTTTAGTAATCTTATGAACTTTACATTACTCATGTTAGGGGCCATATTTTGATTATATTCATTTATTTGTATCTTAAAAAAAAAGGTTGGGAGCTTCTATTTGTATTAGGGGTGGTCGCGGTTTAGTTGCGATCGGAAAATTTCTAATCTGTCATCTATTCGCCGAATTTGTAGATAAAAAAAATTAATTCACATCCGTTCGCCGAATTGACGGATACAGATTGAGCGGATTAATAGATTGGCAGATAGATAGGAATTGATTTGGAAGTTTAAACTTTTATAAATTTTAAATATAATACAACAATTTATTAGCATTTTTTTTTGGGATAGCAATCTAACTCAACATAACTAAAAGATTATCAAATAAATTGTCAAATACCAATAATAAATACATATAAACAAATCATGCATTATCAAAATTATTTTACTATTTTTTTTATATTAAAAAATGATTTAATTTGATTTTTAAAAAATGAAAAAATTAAGCCTTATATTATTCACACAAAAATACAAAATATTAACACTTGTCATTTGATAAAAGGATTTTCAAATTGAAAACAAACTAAAAACACGAATAATCATGGGCATAATAGAATTAAACCGTCGACTTTGACTTAACTTAGGAATTCATGTTATTCGGCATTGCTACACCCTTACCAAATCGTCTGGTCGGCTAGGACGGTTCTTCTTAAGAGCCAAGGACATTAACCACCACCTAGTAACCATACTTACAAACTCTAGAAAAATGGTAGATGATGTAATGGTTGCCATTTGAGGTAATTGGGAATTCGACGAAGGAGAAGATCGCCTGAATCATGTACTTAGGCAGAAGGGTGAACCAGGTGGCCGAGTAGTTATTTTGTCAGTTTATTTGTTAATTGTCTTTTCTTTTATAGGCTAACTACGTTTCTTCTTCGTGCATGCAACGACCTAATAAATCTCTCACTTCGACGGATGAAACCATTCTTGTTCAAGTGAAGACCATTCTTGACTTCGTTGGTTGCCTAAATCTCCAAAGATATGGACACGCCACCCACATTTTGCTAAGATACGATCCTTCATATTCATCATTCACAGCGGCCGACCACATAATGATTCCTAGAGGCGAACAACAACTCTCGGCTTTTGTATTCCCTAGCTTTGTCAAATTGAGAGATATTAGGGTTGAAGATTCATCAGCCAGTGAGCAAGGTAATGGAAACGGTGGCTAGGATGCCGAACAAGGTGTGGGACAAGAAGCCGAGCAGAACATTGGATAGGATGGTCTAAATGTAGAGCAAGATGTTGATTAAAAAGCTTGTTTGAATGTTGCTGCTAAACAAGACACCCATCAGGTCAAAGAGCAAGAATTAGATAGGGAGCTTGATATAGTTTTTGATCAAGTCGACTCTAGGAAAAGAGTTGAGGAGGTTAGCAACTCAAAGCTTGCAGCTTTTCCAGACTGAATAGATATCGAGGGTCCTCGAGAGAAAGATATCTTCGTTAATTTGAATAATTTGCCTAGGTCCAGGTCAGAGAAAATAGCGAGTGAGTCATTTTCTCTCGCTCAATTTGCCAAGAAAAAGAATGCTGAAAGAGTTGCAGCTAAAAAGGCATCTGCTTGTACCTCTAGCCGAGTAGTTGATACTTCAGTCGTCCAGACAGAAGGGGTCGCTGAGCAAGCTGTAATCGAAATATCGGCGCAACTACCACCGTCATTATCAATTGAAACCCTTTCGTTGGCGTCTATAGAAGTCGCCGATGCGATTGGCTCCAATCGTCCTGCCGAATCTTAGCAATTAACTGAGCAGAACTCGTAGGTATTGTGTGTGTGTGTGTGACACAGAGAGAGAGAGAGAGAGAGAGAGAGAGAGAGAGAGAGAGAGATACATTGCAGCAATGGTGAACGTCAGAAAAATGAGAGAAAGCGCATAAGCTGTTCGAGAATAGCCATGGTATCGACGTTGGCAGCAGCAACAACAGAGACAGAGGAGGAGCAGAGAAAGGCCAAATCCCACAAACCAGATTGCAGCAATAACAAACAGGGGAGCACCAGTAAAAGCCACGGACTGCATTTAGAACTGAAAATATCTACACTAGGACACCTGTTATTTGACCCTCACTTCCAAAAGACAGAATTGCAATATCACTATAAATTTGTCAGAGGCTCACATACAGACTAACTGAAGGTGTAAATCCCAACAACAATTACACTACCCACTACGAGAAGAGGCTTAATAAGGATTCTCCTCAATTTTGCAACTGAACATAATCATGCCCTGAAACAAATGAGGCTTGGACTATGGAGTTACAATTGAAATAAAGAAAAACATTGATAAATTTTAAAAATTTTGTTCAGAATAAGAAGAGATGACAAGTACCAAAAAATAATTGATAATGTAATACCTCTATAGCACTTTTTCCTTTTAGTACTCGTTCTTTATCAATGCCCCAAGATAGGCATTCAGTATTTCTCCTTCCTTCACGATCTGTAAAAAATATATCTGGATTCTCTTTCCCAATCTCTATTGATTGTCCTTTCCATAGATTAGTTGAGATAAAAAGCAAAAAGGTTAATGAGTCCACATCTAAAAGAGAGATTTTTCAGGGGATTATCCAAAACCACACATAGACATGCAACATGCATAAGTGTAAACCCATCGTCATGAACTCTACCAAGAACAATAATTAGAACCAAAAGTTATTCATAGACAAATTCCTCTCCCTTTGCAACCAACTGCACAAAGCAAATAAAATAATACAAAATCCAGTGAACCAAAGTCCCCGAGTTTGTAGAATTTGACCAACTTTTCCATATAGAACTATGAGAAATTAATTAGAAGTCACAGGAAGATGGAAATCATATCCATCACAGAGCTAAACTATGGATGCTACTAAAGCTTTTAAAGCCAATGGATAGATGAAATTTGGGTGGGTGCCTATTATCCTTCATGGCATTTACAAAAATAAATATTCAGGCTTCCCAGCAACTTATTAGTTGGATCAGGACAATATCTAAGAAATCATTGGTGATTAGTTAAGGTTTTATCTGTGACAAATTTTTTGTAGCCAAGCCCATATGTGTGCTCGGGGAATCTTGTTAATGAGAATATATCATAACATCCAAAAAATCTGAAAAAAAATAATTGGTATACAGTTCAATTAAGCTTGTATGTGTGTGATGGTGTCGGATAACCTTTGTCGCTGAACATTGACATATACACATATCCACACGAAGATGCATGAACCCAAGGGAGATAACTTTTCTTTTTTTTTTTTTTATTTTTTTTTTTTTTTTTTTTTTTTTTTTTGCGCCGATGGTTCATCAGGAAAATGCTCTCATCTTGGATTTTTAATTGCTCAACAAAAATAAAAGCAAAACATCAATGAGACTTAAAAAAAACTTAGTCAAACAGAACAGAGATACATATTTTAGAGTATGACAATTCAAAATCTGAGTGAAAAAGCCTTTCTTTAAAGTTTCAACCAATGAATGATGCTCCATAATGCAAAATTGTTGGTCCTTGTAGGGACATACATAACAAGTGATATAAAGCACCAAAGAAATCATTTGAAACCTAACGAATAAGACAAACACTTAAAATTCAAAAAATAATCACTTACATTATTCATATGCTTCCTCGTGTCCTCCCCTAAAATGTTGATATGATCTAATGCAAGAATTGACCCAAGTGCAGTCACCAACAACACTTTTAGGACTGGAATTGATGAGGCAATGAACAGATCCAAAAGCGCCATCTCGAAATTATTATTATATCACAAATCTTAAAAATTAACTTCACCTCCTGTACATACACACACACACACACAAATTTCAGTTAAGTTTATTGCAGAGAATATTGAGAATGAAGGCCACCAAAAAGGCATTTATGATCTATTTCCAATTTTTTATTTTTATTTATAAAATGTGAAAATTAAATATATACATGTACCAATTAGTTCGGTTTTAGGAGAATTTGATCAAATGATCAAAAATCTAAAATAAATAACAAATAAATGTAGTTGTTTTTTGCTAGCATGACCAATTCAAAAGTCCAAATCTTAGATTTAATTTAACATAGCAAAAAATATGATCAAATTTTCAGCACGTATTAATTCAACTAAACATTTCAAATACATATATATATATACAAGTTTTCTTCCAATTGAGTATCAATTGATCTACAAAATCATCAAACGTGTTTTGGCTACCTTAACCTCAATGCAAACGCCAAACTTAAAAACTTCACAAAATCGAAATTGAAAATCAATGTACCTTCTTCATGTGCATCCTCAAGCCATTGCAAGTGTAGATCCTTACATCTTGAAGCTTCTTCACATCTGCGGCATTGATTCCATGAGCAATCACTGCAAAATCACATGGATGCAAACAAAAAGAAATTATAAATTAAACTTCGATTAAGTTAAAACAGAGCACATGCCAATCCAATTTCTATACATGTAGAACCACAGAAATCCATCACCGATCATGACTATCAAACTTACAGTAAAGATATATAGATGAAAATTAAAAGCAGATCAGAAAAATATGTGAATCTCGGTATAAATCAAAGTTACTCAGCAATGAATGAACACACGCGCACACACACACACACACACACACACATATATATATATATATATACATATGAAAATATAGCAAAAGG